TTTCATATTGAGTTTCCTTCAGTGCCTAGCAGAGTGCTCCACGCAGAGTAGGTGCTTACTCAGTGAACCTAGTGAATGAACAAACTCTGCACCCAGTAGGCATTTAATCAACATTGAATGGAGTGAATAAACACACCCTGCTCCCCAAATTAATTGCTGGTGAGGGACAATCACATTATGTTTCAGTATGAATGCCGATTCAGAAGGCTGTATAGCAGCCTCATTTCCATGAGGGCTGAATTTTGTCATTAGCTAATGGAAAATTTTCCAATTCAGTCCATTTTCAGGTTGTCTGTCCTCCCACAGTGAGCTAAGAATAAATAGGCTTTTGGAAGTGTTTGCTTTTACACTGTTTGTTCAAAACAAGGGATTTTAAAGTAACTGTTTCCTATGGAATTGATCCCTAGCCGTTGCTGAGAGGCCCACAAAGAAGCTGGGAAACCTGGCATGGCCCCTTTCCAGCAGAGTGGTTTTACACCCTCTTGCAGAAGTGTTATTGGAGGACATGGAGAGATGGAGAGGGCGGGGGGATGGCCATTCATTCCACAGTGTGGAATGCACTCTTATTACCTCATCTCCTCCACTGCTGGGTAATAATAAATTATTCCGCTCTGTGTGGCGTGTTCACAATACCACTGGATGAGCGGCTGTTTTTGCATTTGGAAAGTGTTTGCTTTGCCTAATAGACCTGAGATGAATAACAACAAAAGTGCCCAGACTGTGAATAAAGCACATGCCAGACCTGCCTCTGTGGAGCTCAGTCCTCCTCCTCCTTCCTCTTTGCTCCTCAGAGCCCTGGGGTAGAGCTGGGCAGCTGATGATGACTCTCCACACAGGTACCACTCCTCACAGCAGGCCTTGGGGTCCACATGTCAGTCCAAACATAGCCTCCCACTTTTCCTCCAAGAAAATACTCTTTGGAGAGCTTGATGTAATTGGCACTGCTTGGCAATGCCAGCAGTGGCTTATCTCTGGCCCTGCCCAAATATCTAGGTATACCACGGTTCTGAAGCTAGTCTTCAGTGTGGCATAGCTTGACCTGTCTCTAACAGGAATCTAATCTGTACAAATAAACATGCATTTGAAAATAGATAAATCCAAAATGAAAAATCAAATTGCGTAACATGTCTTCTTATTAAGAATGTAAGGATTATCTCCAAATACTAACAGATTCTTTACATGTATCAAGGTGTGACTTTTTTTTTAACCATATACTATACACAGCAAATCCCTGTCCTTTTACCTTTAAGATATTTGATGCTCATTTGTATTCAATGGCGACAGCAACCAATTGATAGCTAGCAGTTATCAAATAAATTCCAATGAAAAGCCACTGTTTAACATTTTCCTCCCAACAAAGGATTTTGGAAGGACAGATAATTTAGGTCTTTGTGCTCTCACCATAAATAAACAGCAACTGCTTCCTCCAGCCACCCTTCTGTGGGCTCAGATTGTACCACACATCTGACAAATGATTTGTGAAAGAGAATGATGAACCCTTATTACCAAGACACTCTTAACTTAATCCAGAACAAGAATCCTGGGTAATTTTACATACACTATCAAGATTGATGGCCTGGCCCTCCTCTGGCAGCTTGCAAATGTTTGACTGGATCGGAAATGGCATTCAGGCATGATTAAAGATTCAGCTGGGCTTCCCAGAAATTCGGGATCCTTTGTATCCATCATCCGAATTCACTGCCTTTGTTACAGGTTAAAGATATTTGACCTCGGCTCTAGTGATTAGCAACCTCGTGCAAATGAGAAGCCAGATAATTTTCTTCAAAAAACAAAACAAAACATCAAAACCGATGTTTGTGGGAGAACCCATAGCTCTAATCATTATTTATGTGCTAACTATTTTTATTTTTTTAATCACAATGGATCGGCAAGCAGTGGTGGTGACTGACAAGCCTGTTGTTTGAGGAAATTTCTAACAAAGTTGTTAACATTAATTCTTTTCTATAGGACTTTCATCTTTTCAGAATCCCCAACTGACATGCCACAAACTGCTTAGCATTGAAAGTCATTCATCAGTGATTAAAGTGCTCTGCTTTATTTATTTTTTTAGTGATTTTTTTTTTATCAGTTTAAGAATGGTTTTTCTTTTATGGGTAGCATGGAATTGTTTCCTAATGAGATGCCTTGACATCCCATTCTGTCTTATGCTGATGATATGTGAACCGGAAAGCTGATGAGCAAAAAAATTAAAAATTGTTATTGGACTGTCATAACGTTGGATTGCATAAAGCTGTTGTTCAGAAGATGCTACAAATGTAGCCAAAGGAACATCTGTAGAGAAACTGAACCAGTGGCACATTGAATACCAAGCGGTCGTTTCTTTCCTGAAGTTGCCAAATGCAGGCTGAAGGAAAAGACCATTCCCTTTCGGGGTATTTGCCAATCAAATTATGACCCTGTGCCAGCTGAATGCAGATAATCCTGGGATAGAGAAGTCCTTTGCTTTCAGACGACAACATCCTGTTTTCCTATTAAAAAAAATGCCTCTTGTGAGGTAGTTAAGACTGTATTTCACGCTCTGCAAGTAATGCGATGATCCCACCAGCCAATCCAATCCAGTGAAACATTTTCAGAGTTGAGGGTTGTAGTAGGGCTGCCAAATACCAGCTGATATAAACGAATGTTGAATGTTGTTGATGTTAGATGATGAGATCAAAATGCTTCCTGACCACCTGCTTCTAGGATAGGTGTGAAGACACATTTTGCTAGGAAAAGACAGCTTCCACAATGAGCCACAATCATCTTGCGGGCTATTTTGCACAGCAAAATGGTGCCTGGAAAACAACTTCATCTGGGAGAAAATTTTTCCCTCCTCACACCTATTCATGACCAATCTCTGCTTTGACTCAGCACCTACCCAATTGTGAGACTCCAGTGTCAAGTCAAATGCCAGTGTGGATAGTTTTTGTGGTGCTCTGGATTGTCTTGGACTTCAGGATAGATCCCTGCCCTCTCAGCTTCAGAAGAGAACACAAGGCAGGTCATTCAGCTTCTCTCGGGGTGGGCTCACAGCTGCAAAGTGTAAGTGTAAAACAGGCAAATATCCAAAGACTCCAGGGAAAATGGATTTTTCAGATCATTGAGGCCCAAGGTATTATTGATATGTGATGTTAGTTGGAGAACTGGCTTAGTTCTGCCCTTTCCTTTATTGAGACAGCTTTTGCCTCAGTTTCCCTTCTTGTCAAGTAGACCTAATGATTCTGAGGGCAAGATGGAGAAATATCATGAGCGCTTTGAAAAAAGGAGCCATCACAGTCTTAGAATTTTAAGGAATAGTTGATAACTATTCCACTAAACATACTATTACAACAGGGAGAAAGAGTGACATTTCCTGGACACACTGAAATGGGACTGGCAGAGGCTGAGTCTATGTATGCATACACACACTCCAATTTGAAAGAGAAACAGGTGAATTTAGTTAAACAACTTTTTTTTTTCCAGAGGGAAGGACTATCCCCCAAACAAAGACAACGGTTAATTCTATTGGTTATTTATTGAATCCAAATGAATTCAAGCAGCCAATCCTCTATCTCTAACTGTAACCTACAAGTTGGCTGAATTTGACCATTTTGTTTTCAGACTGGTTTGTGCAGGTTAGAACATGTACAAGGCCACCCATCCTGAAACCAGTGAAACAATTTCACCATATGGAGTTCCCCTCCATAGAACCACAGCCTTCCAAGTGACTATGGGTTGTTGAAACCACGGGGAGCCAATCCCATTGAACAAACACCAGGCTCTCATTGCCACATGACTCTCCCCTGATCTACAATCAGCTCGGTAATGTGCCATGACTGGAACTCTCTGGGGACGGACAAGGCTGTGGAGTTGGTTGGTTGGTGGTGTGGAAGGGGAAGGAGGAGGCGGTGATGTCAGCAGTGACCGTAAGAGCTGGTTCTTTTCACTGCATCTTCCTAATGTTCCACTGGCGACTTTCTCTCCAGTTATCTTCTGTGTCTTTCTTGGCAACCTGTGTATTCTGATTGCTATCAGCTTATAATTAGTTACCTTGACAAGGCCTATGATATACATAAATACTCCTAAGATGCCAGATAAACTGTATTGGTTTTAAATTAGAGCTGTGCATACTGTCTCTCTATGAACTCTAGCTTATTATTTTTAATTATCGCTTGTGAAGCAGAGTGATTTCTTTGCCCTCTTTACAGCTTGTCTGACAGCATTCTCTCAGACCCCACAAAGTACTACCACATCAACCCCACCCTCTCCCTCCCCGCCCCATATACACACATGTGTGCACATGCAGTCAGAACTCAGATTGGCTAAACAGGAGCTTAACAGCAGGTAAATGGGAAGAGATCAACTTCACTCCTTGCTCCCTGTATTTTGAAGAGGGAAGAGATAAAATTACCCTGCCTTTTCTATATATCTGTCTAAATGCAACATTTCTTTGGGGTTTATAAAATGGTTCCAGAGGGCAAGGAGAAAATTAGATCTCTGGAAATCCAGAATTGTTTCACTGTATGTATAAGTGGACATGTGGAGTGTGTATGTGTGTGTGTGTGTGTGTGTGTGTGTGTGTGTGTGTGTGTGTGTGTGTGTGTGTGTGAGAGAGAGAGAGAGAGAGAGAGAGAGAGAGAGAGAGAGAGAGAGAGAGAGAGAGAGAAGGGTAACATTAGCCTCTGTCACACTGTAGGAGGCCAAAGATATGTGGAGCTCTGGTACACTTAGAAGATCATGCCTTCCCACAACACCTGTTGGTTTTTCATATTTAAATGTTTTTCTTGGCTTCTGGTTTTCTGGGCTTTATGTTTGTTGATTTTATTTTATTTTGTGGCTTGTTTTCAATGAAAGTTCTTGAATTTCCTTTCCCCCAGGTTAGTCCCATCTTTCAAGGCCTTGTGCTTTGAGTCCAGTGCAGAAGCCTTTGGAAATGTGGCTGTCCTTCGAATGAGACAGGAGGCTGTGGAGAGGCCAAGATCACGTTTGCTAATTTCTTCTCCCTGTTCTTTGAATTCCAGCAACAAGGAGCCGCCACCACCGTCTACTGCGCCGTGGCACCCGAGTTGGAGGGCCTGGGAGGAATGTATTTCAACAACTGCTGTCGCTGCTTGCCTTCAGCAGAGGCCCAGAATGAAGTGACGGCGAGAGCCTTGTGGGAGCTCAGTGAGAGGCTGATCCAAGAGCGGGTTGGCAGGCAGACCAGCTGACAGGGACCTCCTGTAAGGATCAAAACACACCAAGTGGATGTGTGCGCACTAGAAAACTGCCAGCTCTGGAACCTTTCCAAGCTTATCATCTAGAGGGTTTCCATATACCTCGGTTACAGATTAGCTAGTGTTAAACAGAATAATAGCAGTCACAACATAGTGAAAAATGTTAAGTACTAATGGGAAGTAGGGAATTCTGTAGGTTAAAGGGACAATATCTCTTTCTGGGGCTTACTTTTACTTTTCCTTAGGATTGTAGCCTTTGCGAAGTAGAGCCCGCAGTGAAATGCGGGGTATCTTTTGTGCTACTTTAGAAGTACATGCTAACTTTTTCATTGATTTCCCTGGCTAAGTGTTCTGCAAATCACCAACACACAATCCCCTTCCTCTCCTTCCCCAGCCCCTTTGGGGAAGGAGATGTCTTTGAGAATTGATTTTGATCAGGAAATATCTGTTTCATGCAACCTGACCAAATTGGATAGGGCTTGGCAATAGGAAGAAAGGAGAATTTCAGGTCCCCTTCCCCTCTACCCCCTTTACTCTGGACAACAAATGCCTCAGTCATGGTTAGGAATATGTGGTGCTGAGCTAGCAAATATATACACAGAAAGCAGTGGTCATTCCCTCCCCTGCTGATTAAATATTGAAGAGTATTTTGAGATAACAAAAAAGTATATCACACACTATTCCCTAAAAGGCTTAGTTTAGAATCAGGAAAAAAGATCCCAGGTCCTGAAGAATCCAGAAAGGTTGTCAGGGGGTTGCCCTCCACGGAGACTTCTAAGGAGGATCTTTCTGAAGTTCAGTTACTCAGTTCTCCCGATGCCAGATCCTGCTTGCATTTGCCTCTGTCTTTCATCTTTATGTTTTAATAAAAGAACATGCTTGAATATTGTCACCTGAAGAGAACATTTGTATTGTTCCTTTAAATGTATGTTTCTCTTTTTTTCTCTTTAAAAAAACAAACAAGGAAAAATAAATAGCTTCTTGTAGATGCCGTGAAAAGAAGGTTCTTGCGTCTTCACTGAGTTGGGTTGTGTTTTTTGTTTTGTTTTGTTTTTTGTGCTTTGTGGCTATTTTCTTGCCTGAAAGTTGTCTCACACCATCAGCATCCCAGCATCACATCTTCTGAAAACAAGATAAGACAGGAAGACGGTTAATTGTGCTTTCACATTTCTTGGGTGTCATTTATGGCAAATAAGCCATTTGCTAAGGGTTCTCCCCCCTGTCATTGGAAACTACCTGGGGCTAGGAGGATGTGTGTGTGTGTGTGTGTGTGTGTGTGTGTGTGTGAAAGAGCTGTGCTCCACTCTCCACTGCCCCTGGGTTCTATGTATCTCTAAAGAGAAGTCAAAGAAAGGTGATCAGCTTGGGAACTCTCTGGGTAGAGAGGATGGTTCAGGGCCCAGAGGAGTGAACAAGATGCACAGACTGTGAGGCTCAATTTGAAACACCAAAGGGGGACCTGGAATCCTTGGCCTTTGTGGCCCTCAGATAAGATATTCCTGTAGCAAACTCTTTTCTCTGACATGGATACCTTCTCAGTGACCCATGCTCATGGCCTTCGCTTGTTTTCATACCTCTTTGGGAAATGTGCTGTTATCTAAATCGCTAGTGGCCTATAGATAGAGAGGCACATTAATTTATAGACATGGCTAAATTGTTCAAATGAGAAATAGTAGATCATCCCATCAACCCAGTATGGGATTCATTCACCAACATTTCTTGTTTCTATTTCATTTATAAAATTTACAAAGTGTTATCCTCACAACAACCTTGTGGGCTAAGTAGTGAATGTCTTATGATCCCCATTTGAGGAGAGATGAGGAAACTGAAGGGCAAACAGGGCCAGTGGCTTGCCTAGGGTCACATAGCTAATATACAATTGGAGCTGGTATCTAAAGCCAGAATTTAATTTTCCCTGACTACCTGCTTGGTCTTCAAATGCCTTACATGTGCCTTTCAGATAGTTTTGGTAAATTTTATTTGTCCCCCAGTAATTGCATTGCCCCCCCCCACTCCCCAATGTGCCCTTCTCTTTACCCCTTCTGTGCTTACTGCCTTACTGTGTGGCTTTGAACAAGTTACTTAACCTCTGTGAATCTCAGTTTCCTCATCTGTAAAATTAGAAGGTTGGACCCAAAGATCTCTGAGGTCCCTTCTAGTTCTATATCTATAATCTTTTGATCCATCCTTTCTGCAGGTCCCTATCTTAAACTCGGCTCATACAAAACTGAACTCTTACCTCTTTTCCTAAACTCTCTCTCCCTCCTACCTTCCTCATTAACATAAAGGGCAACACCATATTCGAGTCCCTCACACTCACAACCTAAGAGTCATCCTGAGTTCCTTAGCATTTCTCACCCCTCATATCCAAGCTGTTGCCAAGGCTTATCGATGTCACATTTGCAGCATCTCTTTAATACACCCACTTCTCTCCTCTGACATTGCCACCACTCTAGTACACACCCTTATCACCTTATGCCTTGATTTTTTTATAATTAATTAATTTATTTTTAGTTTTCAACATTCACTTTCATAAGATTTTGAGTTTTAAATTTTCTCCCCCTTCTTCTCCTCTCCCCTCCCCAAGATGGTGTGAAATCTGATATAGGCTATATTTATACATTCATATTAAACATATTTTCACATTGGTCATAATGTAAAGAAGAATTAGAATTAATGGGAAGAACCACAAGAAAGAAGAAACAAAACAATGAAAGAAAAGGAGAGTAAATAGTGTGCTTCCATCTTCATTCAGACTCCTAAGTTCTTTATCTGGATGTGGATAGCATTTTCCATCCTGAGTCTTTTGGAGAAGTCTTAGATCCTTGCATTGCTGAGAAGAGCTAAGTCTATCAAAGTTAGCCATTACACAATGTGGTTGTTAGTTTGTACAGCATTCTCCTGGTTCTGCTCACTTCACTCAGCATCAGTCCATACAAGTCTTTCCAGGTTTTTCTGAAGCCCAACCACTCATCATTTCTTATAGCACAATAGTATTCTATTACATTCATATACCACAGCTTGTTCAGCCATTCTCCAACTGATGGTCAGCCCCTCAATTTCCAATTCTTTGCCACCACAAAAAGAGCTGCTATAAATTTTTTTTTTTTTTTGTGCATGTGAGTCCTTTTCCCCTTGTTATGCTCTCTTTGGGATACAGACCTGGAAGTAATATTGCTGGGTCAAAGGCTATGCACAGTTTTATAGTCCTTTGGGCATAGTTCCAAATTGCTCTCCAGAATGGTTGATCAGTTCACAACTCCACCAATAATGCATTAATTTTCCCACATCTTCTCCAACATTTATTATTTCCCTGTTTTGTCATATTAGCCAACCTGATAGGTGTGATGTGGTACCTCAGAGTTGTTTTGATGTGCATTTCTCTAATCAATTTATGCCTTGATTATTTCAATAGCCTGCTGGTGAGTCTGCCTTCCTCAAGGCTCTCCTCACTCCAACCTATCTACCAGTCAGCCCCCAAAGTGATTCTCCTAAAATGCAGATCTGAGCACCTTACCCCTCCTCCCAATCAATAAACTCCAGTGGTTCCCAATCTCCTCCAGGATCAAATATAAAATCCTCTGTTTGTCATTCAAAGACCTTCATAAACCAGCCTCCTTCTACCTTTCCAGTCCCCTTACACCTTCCTCTTGACACATACTCTTCTATTCAGTGACACTGGCCACCTCCTTGCTGTTCCATGATCAGGACACTCCATCTCTTGGCTCTGGGCATTTTCTCTGTGTTCCCTATACTCTCCATCTGTAATGCTTTGCTCCTACCTTTCCATCTACTGACTTCCATAAGGAAGTCCCTGGCTTCCTTTAAGTCTCAACTAAAATTCCATTTTCTACATGAAACATTTCTCTACACCATTTAATTCTAATGCCATTACTCTGTTATTTATTTCCTATTCATCCTGTACATAGCTTGTTCATACATATTTGTAAGCTCGTTGTCTCCCCTATTAGTTTATGAGCTCCCTGGCTGTAGGGACTGTCTTTTGCCTCTTTTTATATCTCCAGTGCTCAGCATAGGGCCTGGCACATAGTAGACGCTTAATAAAATGTTATTGAATATTGACTCTTGACTGTCTCCCTAGGCATAGAGAATGTCACTATCTACCAAGTATATTGAATCATAGAATGTCAGAGCTGGAAGGGACCTGAGGGCTCATCTACTCCAACCCCCCATTTTTTAAATGAGGAAACTGAGGTCCAAAGGTCACATTGTACATCCATGGTAAAGGCAAGATGAAAATCCAGTTTTCCTGGCTCCTGGACATCTGCTCTTTCCTCTGTATGTCAGCCACCTGGAATCAATGCCCAGAGTCCCCTGTAGACATCCATGCCACCAAAAACAAGCTAAATGGGATGAGAAGTACAGCCCTTGTTTATGATTTTCCCTGGGATCCACCTGGATTTCCACTCAGTCCAGGCACCTGGGCCAACTCTCATTTTCAGTATGGGCTGACAGAGATTGTTCAGGTCAAATATAACCAATCAGTAGGAAACAGCAGCTCACACCACCCCTCACCATGAGTGAAGGTTGTGGCTTGTGGTTTCACTCTGCAAAATGGGGTTATTGGTGGTTTTGTGTTGAACTTTACTGAAGTAGGCCCAGCTGCTTCCATTAAAGGTTATGAGTAGGCCAGAAACTTTGGTGTGGAAAAGAGCCCAATAGAGACTTTTTATCCTCTCTGGGGAATAGCACTTTATAGAAAAAGGAATATATTTCAAATGCCTTTATCAATTCTGTCAGGCTACTTCTATATACACACACTTGTTGTTTTGAATTCAGGGTTTTGGGGTTTTTTTTAAAGTTAAAGTCAATAAAATTAGGATTTTCTGCTTTACATATCACCAAATAACCAGTTTGACTGAATATCTCTGTTTCAGCCTGTAACTAATTTTATATCAAATTCATGGGAAGTTGTGTCTATTTGTTATTGTTGTGATACTTTGTTATATCATCCATTTCCTGTCCCCTAACCATAGCTTTCCCCCAAAACTCCATCCTCGACCTTCTCTACACTCCTTCCCTTGGTGATCTTATATGTTCAATGAGATCAACCATCTCTGGACAGATGACCCTCCAATATATATTCTAACACAATCTCTCTCCTGTGCATACTGCATTTCAAATGGTCTACTAGATATCTCCACCTGGCATCTCAAGACCAATATATTCAAAACAAAATTCATCCCATTTTCCATCCCACCTCCCTCTTCTGCCTCAAATTCTCGCTTGTTGAAAACTTCTTATATAGTTGCAGTGAAGATTCCCTTCATGCATAGGTTGGACTACAAGGTCACTGAAATCCCTTCCAGGTTTCAAGTTCTTTGATTACGTGGATCGCACTACTGACTGTCTCCATCACTTACATCTGTAGCTTCAGTCATCCTTGAGTCTTTCCTCTCCCTCATTTCCATTTCTGATCAGTAGTGAAATCTTGGTGATTCTGCTCTGAGAGCATCTCCTGATTCCATTCCCTTCTGTCCACTCACCTAGCCACCACTTTAGTTCAGGACCTCACCACCTCTCACCTAGACTTGTAATAGCCTCTCTATTACTTTTTCAGTGTCTTGCTCTTGCCAATACATCCTTCATATAGTGATCAAAATAAGTTTCCCAAGGCACATTTCTGATCATATCACTTTCCTAATTAAAAAAAAACTGGCCCTTTATTGTCTCTAGGATAATTGAATTTAGGATTAATATAGGATAATTCTAGGATAATTGAATTTATTATATGATGACCATGTGTCTAGCACTGTGGTAGGTACTGAGAATACAAAAACAAAAATGAAAAAGTCTCTGCCATCAAAGAACTTATGTGCTAATGGATAAAAAAAAAAAAAGAAGTCCCCTCAGTCTGGCATTCAAAGCCTTTCATGAAAGTGTCCCAAACTATCTTCTCAGCCTTTTTATTTTACAGAACTCCCCTTCAAGCAGATCTGCATTTCAGCCAAACTGACCTATATGAGCTGTTCTCCATCCATTATCCATGTTCCATAGTAGTTGATTACATCCAGTGCCCCTACACTAAGAATCCACTCCCTCCCCATCTAGGCCTTGCATAATATTTAACCTCCTTCAAGGTTCAGCCTAGTTGCCACCTCTTCTTCAAACCAATCCCAGATCGTCCTCACCCTGTATTTATTTACCCCATCCTTCTTGATCCCAAGTGGAATTCAAACACCTGGAAGGGAAGGAGCTATGGCTTTTTAATCTTTGTAGCTCTAATGTTGACCACAGTCCTTTGTGATGCCATCAGTAGAATCATAGAATTTGGGGGTTGGAAGGGACCTTGGTAGGCAGCTAATCCTACCCATACACAAAGGCATTTAAAACAGGCTGATTTGATTACTGTTCTTTCTCTGTAGAAATGATGATTGATGGTGGCTTGCATTCCTAAACCACTCTCCAGTTTACAAAATACTTTTCTCACAACCACTGTGAGAGGCACATAGCAAAAGTGTTATTATCTCCTTGAAGCTTCAAGAGGCGATGTCCCTTGAACTCAGGCCTTCTGACTGGTGCTCTTTCTGCTGTAGCAGGATGTAAGCCCCTCAAGAGTCAGGACCATGTTTTAAAATTTTGTCCCAGGCTGTTATGGTCTATATGCACTACGTACGTAGTCACAGACACTTGACTCTGAGAATGTTAGAGCTAAGAATAACCCTTAGAACACAGAACAGAGAACATCATGTCTGGAAGGGATCTTGGAATAGAGAACATAAATTATCAGAGTTGGATGGAAACTTTGAATGCAGAATGAATACTGTCAGAGGTTTAGGAACTTTAGATATTACCTAATGCCCCTAATTTTATCTTTCAAGAAACTGAGGTCCAGAGAAAGATCTTAGCTTGTAGGACCAGTGACCTAGAGCCTGAAGGGATTTCAGAGGCCATCTATTCTAAGCCCCCTCCCTTTACAGATGAGGAAACTGAGGCCAGATTAGTGACAGATCAGAATTAGTGACAGATCAGAATTTGAACCCAAATCTCCTGACTCCCAGCCTAGGGAAATTTCTGCACCACAATGTCAAAAAGAATATTCTATTTACTGAAAAAAAAATACAGCAAATCAGTTCAACTATGCATTGTGATGAGGACAGGTTGCCCAACTGCAGTTCTTCTCGTTACAATGGCAGACTGTATTATCACCAAGACACAGCAACAGTGTTGCTGATTGACACCCAGACCGATGGCATGGTCAGCCTAATTGGCTGGCTGGGAGTCTGAGATCTGTCCCTCCTCTCTGCAGAAATACTGCCTCCCTCTGTGAACACATTCCTCAGTGCTCACAAAGACCGTCTTGCTTCTGAATGCGTCTGTTTGCCATGTTGTCCATCTCTGGCATGAGGATGTCAAAGGCCTTTTAATCTCGCTGACAGCTGGGCCTTAATGAGATGCCTCTGATCACCCTGGGAGGCAGCTCTGGTTCTTCTCGCCATGAGCAGCCTCCTTCCTATTTATTGTTTGCTCAGCATCTGACCTTTGATTCTGGAGCCCCATCCAAATTAGAACTGCAAAGGTCTTTAGAGAGCATTTTTTAAGAGAGCACTCCTTCTATACATAAAGGGGAAAATTGAGACTCAGAAAGGAGAAAGGACTTGTCCAAGCTCACCCAGCCAGTAAAGGGTAGAATTGGCACTCAGGTTCCTGACCTCTGATTCCATAGGCAGTGACCTCTCCACTCCACCATCAAGGCAGCTTCACGTAGGCTGATGTTTCCATTTTTACCAGAGGACCAGTCTGATTTGCTGTGCAAAAGCACTACTCTAACCAAATATTTTCCTTGCCCATTAGAATTAGTTAGATGTTCCAGAATTCTCCAATAAGTATAGAAGAGAAATGTTTTTTTTTTATTTTATGTCAACCCCTTTGGCAATCTGGCGAAATCTATGGACCTTTTCTCAGGAAAAAATATTTTTAAATGATTGAAGGAAATGATAAATTTCAGTTAGAAGTTAGTGAAAATAAAGATATAATGTTTTCACCACCTAAGGTCACAGACTCTCTAAAATCTATCCACAGCCTCCAAAGGAGGTATTTCATAATTCTGTTGTCATGAACCCCCTTAGTAGTCTGGTAAAATCTGTGAACCCATTCTCAGAAAAATGTTTTTAAGTTGTTCAAGGAATGCTAAATTTCAGGTAGAAGTTGGCAAAAATAAAGGCATAATGTTTTTCCCCATCCAAGGTCACAGACTCTGAAATCTATCCAAAACCTCCAAGGTGTTCATGGACCCCAGGTTAAAAAACACCTGATGTAAAAGTAAAGCATTGGGAAAATCTGAATGGACAGTGTCAGCAGAAGAAAAAAGACTTCATAAGGAAGAGAAAAACTTCATATTTTTTAGCAGATGTCCAATTTGGTATTGCTAGCACCAAATAGTATTAAATAATCACATTCCAGTCTCACTCACACCAAGAAGAAATGAAATTCCTCCCTTGGACATTTGGGTGAGACTACAGGGGTTTGGTTACCTTGGTTTTTTGAGTGAGGGTCCATCTTTGAGGTTTCAACCTTAAAAGATAAATGAAGGAAAAGGGATTTATTAAGGACTTACTCTTGGCCAGGCACTGTGTTAAGCACCAGGGATACAAATATTAATAAACTAGGGACAGTCCCTGCCCTCAAGGGGTTTGCACTCTAATAAAGGAAGACAACACATATAAAGGAGAGATGACCAGGAAAGGGAGTTTTGTTCTGGGTAAATGGAAAGCAAAACTATAGTATTTTAATTATGACAAAGCACTTTCCTCATAACAACCCTGCAAGGTACAGGTACAAATAATATTATCCCCATTTTACAGATGAGGAAGCAGAGAGACAAAGTGATTTGCCCTAATGGGGGAGCCAACATGCAAATAACTATGTATGTATAAGGCATGTAAAGAGTAGATGGTCCTTTCAGAGGACAGCCACTAGGGTGGGGTGAGGGCAGGGGACAGGAAAGCTCACGTGGTGCTATGTAGTTGATAAAATACTTTCCATACAGTATCTCATTTGATGTGGAAAGAGCACTAAATTGGGAGTTCAAACTTCTGACTTCCCAATTCTGTTATTGGTTCTGTGACCAGTAAAGGTAAGTAAAGGCAAGTCATTTCCCCTCTATCTCAGTTTGCTTATCAGTAAAAGAGGGTTAATAATACCCTGAGCTTGTTGTAAGAGAAGTACTTTGTAAACCTTAAAGCTCTATACAAAAAATTGAATTTAATTAAATTTTTAAAAATTTTAAGTTCTATACTAAAACTAGTTATTATTATCTGTAATGATATTGAAATTGAGCAAATCACTTGCCACCCTAAGCCTCAGTTCCCCCATCTATAAAATGGAGTTCACAATGTGTTTGCTAACTACCTCAAAGGAAAGAGCCTGGTGAATTGTGTAAAGCACTATAGAGGTGGGAGATGTCATACAGTCCAGGGTCCCTGGCCCTGTCTAGCTGAGAATAAACACTAGGAAGGTTTTGTTTGTGATTGTTTTCTCCACTCTCTACTCTCTAACACCTGTCATGAACTCATGATTTTAAGCAGAAATGGACCTGAGATCTCATCCTCTTTATGTTACAGAGAAAGAAATTAAAGGCTGAAAGAGTGTTGCGACAGAGGAGAAGAGCCAATGAACTGATTTTCATTTGAAAAAAAAAAAAGCTTAGTTTTTGAAAACTATAGGCTGGGTTATTTGACTTAAATTCCTGGAAAAAAAAGCTAGGACAAATGATTAAAGGGATGGTTTGTGAGCTCTTAGAAAAGAGAACCATGATTACCTGAAGTCAGCTTTCTAAAAGACAGGTCATGTAATGCTAACCTCATTTCCTTTTTCCAGGGTTATAAGAATATTAGATTTAGGAAATGTATTAGGCATACTTCAGAATCAAAGAGTTCAGGAAAACATTTGATAAAGTCTCCCATGTAATCTTTGTGGAGATGCATACATGGAATGATGATATGGTTAAGGACCTCGGTCATACCAGCTTGAAATCAACTTAGAGAGAGATCTCTAGGGGAGTGCCCCTGGGATCTGTGCTTTGCCCTATTCTGGTTAACAATTTTACCAATGATTTGTAAGATGGCATAAATGCCATGCTTATCAAGTTTTCAGATGATGCCCATCAGGGAGAGCCATATAAGATATTAGATTACAGAGTTGAAATCCCAAAAAGATCTCAAGAGTCTAGGAGACCAAATCTCATAAGGTGAAATAGTAGAAAGACAGGTATAAAGTTGTGCATTTGGCACTTAATAGCACCACCACCACAACCACCACCACCACCAACCAATGGCAGAAGTATAAGATTGGGGATATATGGCTATGCAAGAGTTCCTGGAGGGGAAAAAAAGAAGACACAGAGGGTTTAGCAGAATGCAAACTCAATATGCATCAACGTATGTCACCAGTGTGTGTGTGTGTGTGTGTGTGTGTGTGTGTGTGTGTGTGTGTGTGAGAGAGAGAGAGAGAGAGAGAGAGAGAGAGAGAGAGAGAGAGAGATGACAGCAGAAAACTTCACGCTACCCTAAGCTACATTAAGAGATACATAATGTTTGGAATGAAGTCGATGGTGGTCCTGCTCTTCTCTGTCAGCTTCAGGAGTACTGCACTCAGATCTAGGCACCTTTGAGGAAGAAGACTGACGGATGAGCTGGTGGGCATACAGGGGAAAGCTCAACTCAGGCTTCGCCTTCTGCAAGTAAGTTTCTCCTGATCCCTGTCAGTGTTGATAATCTATCCCTTTCCAAATTATCATGGATGTAGTAGAATGTAAGCTCCTCGAGGTCAGGGACTGGTTTGCTTCGTCTGTATCCCAGGCCTCTAGTATAGTGCCTTGCACATCTTATGGTTCATTCCTACTTGTTGAATGAAATGGTGGAAGGACTTGGGAGCAATGCCCTATGAGGACTGACTGAAGGACCCAGGAGAGAAAGACCAGGACAACTTCCAGGGATCTGAAGGTCCACGATATGGAACCTTGTTCTGCTTGGTCTCAGAACTAGGAACAGTGGGTAAAAGTTATGGAGAGTCAGGTTTTGGCTACTTGGTGTAAGGAATAACTGATTTCCCAACAATTAGAGTCATGTACAAGTGGAATGGGTAGCCACCGAAGACAAGAGGTTACTCCTTATTTGGAGTACTTAAGGGACGCCTGGAGAAGGGATTCTTGTTCAGGGATGGGTTGGACTGGATTGGCTTCAGATATCCCTCCAATGGAAGATTCTATGGGGAAGTTATGCAGCATACTAGAACACTTAAGAACTCCCTTAACTCCATCCCTCCCCAGCCCTCAAGCAGAGCAGAAGGAATATGCAAGGGGGCAGTTTACTTTGTAGGATTTTAGATTTAGAAGGCACCTTCAAGATCATCTAACCTAATACTTTCATGTTACAAATGAGGAAACTGAATCTCAGACAGAAGAAATGATTTGCCCAAGGTCATACAGAGAGGAAGGATCAGAGCCAGGATTGAAACTATCTTCTGAGTTCAAACCCAAAGTTCATTTCCATTTTGCCTCTTATTCTGTCTGCCAAGTGAGAAACTCCAAGTCTCTAGGGCGAAGGAAGAGGGGAGTCATTACAAGGAAGCTTTAAAAAACGTGTATAGGCAACTTGGGTCTCTTTAGGGGTAAAAGTTAACCTTTTATAGTTTGAACTTCAGCTACTCAGGAGCAGATTTCACATTTATAGCTGCATTCCTATAAAATGGAGCATCCCCTATACCATTGTTTCACCTAATGGTAAGTTTCCAGCAAACTAATTAAGTTAGATGGGGCATGTCTGGAATTTCTTACCCACCTACATAATAGTCATCCCTTTAAGAGGCATAAAAAACCGTTCCCTGATCACACGTGCCAAACCATAACTGGAGCCAATGTTTTAAAAATTGAAAAGCCTCCCTAAAAAATTGGAACACGAGTCCTCGTATAATTATAATCCCGCTAGCTGTAGTTAATGTTAACTAGATGTCTAGAAAGAGCACTCTGTGTGCTGACCCAAGGCCTTACCTGGCTTCACAGCCATTAGTGTTTTTAAGCTTGGCTTGGGGGAAATTACTGTCAGTGGCTATAGTCACAACACACTTCAAAAAAGAATAATGGCTCTTAACAGTTTCTTTGTGGTTTAACAGAAGAAGGTCTGGATTTGAAGTCAGAGGATTCAGAGCCAAATCCCAGCTCTGCGGCTGTGTGACTTTGGGCAAGTCACTCACTTTCTTGGGGACTCTGGTGCCTCATCTATAAAATGGGAAGGTTAGGGTAGATGCCCTCTAAGATCCCTTTCACCTCTAACTCTGTTATGAACTCTGTAAGAAAGCTAATATTGGGATAATTATTTTCATTTGATAGATGAGATCAATGGAGCCAAGCTGAGAGATTAAATGAATAGCTCAAGGTCACACAGTTAGAAGTGTCAGGTCTTCTGATTATAAGTTAGGTGTTAGAATAACAATTATTATTAATTAATTAATTATAATTATATGTAATAATGATATGTTATATATTGTACATAGTTATATACAATTGTGTGTAGTATATTATATAATTAAATCCATAATAATTATTTTAAATAATATAATTAATAACATTTAAAATTGATAATAATAAAACGTATGGTGTATGAGAGAGGCAAAACAAATAATAGTTAGATATGGGTCTGGAAAGTCAGAGAACCCATGTTCGAATTCCAACTCTGTCACTTACTCTTGTGACATAAGACAAGTCCCTTGATGTGTCTTGGTTACCTCATTTGTACAAGCAGAAGGTTGGCCCTGATGCTCTTCTAAGACCATCACTTCCTTCCTTCCTTTCAGGCCACTTCCTCCACAGTCTACCTCCATCCCCTGTAATCCATACCATGCATTTCTTTTGACAGAAGCATCAGCCCAGATTAAGACAGGCTAGGCTCACTGTCCTGATCGATGACTTTTCTCCTTTGCCCTCCATCCCCAATCTCCAGTTCCTAGTCAACACTCCCCTACATATATTGTCTCTCCTACTAGGATGTAACCTTCTCAAGAGGATGGATCATTTTTGTGCTTGTTTTTGTATTCCTAGCATTTAGCCTGGCACACGGTAAATGCTTAATCAATGCTTCTTCATTCATTCACTCTGAAGTCCCTTCCAGCTCTAAATCTATAACTTCTGACAACTCCCATTTCCATAACAATGTAAAGTTTGCAAAGCGTTTTCCACACGACAACCCTGTGGGGTAGATAGAACTAGTATTATCCCCATGTTACAGATCAGGAAACTAAGGCCAAGGTCATGTAGCTGCTAAAAGGAAAGTTCACATTCAAACCAAAGGAACTGACTCCTTCTGTATGGGCACACTCTCCACCAGCACAAATGCCACATGCCATGCCTTGGGAGATGATTTTTATAAGCTGCTTCATCCCTCTGCTGTGGGTGGCTCTGCAGACTAAGCTAGGCTGGTCTCTGGACCATGGATGCACGGTCCATTGTTGAACTTGTCCTTGGAACCTTTTTAGCTTTTTGGACCTTTTAGAGCTTGCACTCTGATGGAATAAACTTC